CCCAGTGATCATATCCCTATGGCTCTTTGATTGCTTATACAGCGGTACCTTGGGTTACAGACGCTTCAGGTTACAGACTCTGCTAACCCAGAAATAATACCTCAGGTTAAGAACTTTGCTTCAGGATGAGAACAGAAATCGCACAGCGGCAGAATGAGGCCCCATTCACTAAAGTGGTACCTCAGGTTAAGAACAGTTTCAGGTTAAGAACGGACCTCCAGAACAAATTAAGTTCTTAACCCGAGATACCACTGTATAAGAAACAGCTCTTAACAGTTCAAGTATATTGTGTAACACAGGGGTCAGCAAACTTTTTCAGCAGGGGGCCGGTCCACTGTCCCTCAGACTTTGTGGGGGGTCGGACTATATTTTTTGGGGGGTGAACAAATTCCTATGCCCCACAAATAACCCAGAGGTGCATTTTAAATAAAAGGACACATTCTACTCATGTAAAAACATGCTGATTTCTGGACCGTCCGTGGGCTGGATTGAGGAGGCGATTGGGCCAGATCCAGCTCCTGGGCCTTTGTTTGTCTATCCATGGTGTAACACATCATTATCATCATCACTGCAGTCCTTTCAGGATTGACAATGACAGCTTTCACATATATCCTTTTTTAAAAAAAAAAAGAGTATTATGAAAATGCAAACATACAAAAAAAGGAAAATAATAATCATAACACAGAATCATAAAATTGTAGAGCTGGAAGGAACCCCAAGGGTCATCTAGTCCAACCCCCTGCAATGCAAGAATCTCACCTAAAGCATCCATGAGAGATGGCCATCCAACCTCTGCTTAAAAACCTCCAAAGGAAGGAGAGTCCACAACCACCCGAGGGAGACTCTTCTACTATTGAACAGCTTTCTTGTAACTTGAAGCCTTTGGTTCAGGTCATAACCTCCAGAGCATGAGAAAACAAGCTTGCTCCATCTTCCATGTGACAGCCCTTGAGATATTTGAAGATAGCTGTCATATCCCTTCTCAGTCTCCTCTTCTCTGGGCTAAACATACCCAACTCCCTCAACCGTTCCTCATAAGGCTTGGTTTCCAGATCCATGATCATCTTGGTTGCCCTCCTCTGCACTTAGAATCATAGAATCATAGAGTTGGAATAGACCACAAGGGCCATCAAGTCCAACCCCCTGCCAAGCAGGAAACACCATCAGAGCACTCCTGACATATGGTTGTCAAACCTCTGCTTAAAGACCTCCAAAGAAGGAGACTCCACCACACTCCTTGGCAGCAAATTCCACTGTCGAACAGCTCTTACTGTCAGGAAGTTCTTCCTAATGTTTAGGTAGAATCTTCTTTCTTGTAGTTTGGATCCATTGCTCCGTGTACGCTTGTCTGGAGCAGCAGAAAACAACCTTTCTCCCTCCTCTATATGACATCCTTTTATATATTTGAACATGGCTATCATATCACCCCTCAACCTCCTCTTCTCCAGGCTAAACATGCCCAGCTCCCTTAGCCGTTCCTCATAAGGCATCGTTTCCAGGCCTTTGACCATTTTGGTTGCCCTCCTCTGGACACGTTCCAGTTTGTCAGTGTCCTTCTTGAACTGTGGTGCCCAGAACTGGACACAGTACTCCAGGTGAGGTCTGACCAGAGCAGAATACAGTGGCACTATTACTTCCCTTGATCTAGATGCTATACTCCTATTGATGCAGCCCAGAATTGCATTGGCTTTTTTAGCTGCCGCGTCACACTGTTGGCTCATGTCAAGTTTGTGGTCAACCACTTGTTACAGTAGGGTTCCTCAACCTCGGCCCTCCAGATGTATTTGGCCTACAACTCCCACGATCCCTAGCTAGCAGGACCAGTGATCAGGGATGATGGGAATTGTAGCCTCAAACATCTGGAGGGCTGAGGTTGAGGAAGCCTGTGTTACAGCTTCTCAACATCCTTCTTAAATTGTGGTACCCAGAACTGGACACAGTATTCCAGGTGTGGTCTGACCAAGGCAGAATAGAGTGGTATTATTACTCCCCTTGAAGTAAATAATTGTACTTTTGTTTTAATAGGATTTTATATTATGACTATGAAATACAAACGCTTTGAATAATAAATAAAAATAAGCAATAAAATGGGATCAAGTCAGCATACAAAAGCAAGGCAGGGCATTTAAAATTATATGCATTGGAAATAGTTACACCCAGGATTAACTCATATTTCTCAAGATGGCAAAGTGAGTCTGAAACATAAGAAATAAAATCCCACCAAACAAGAGAACGGAAAAAACACAACAGAAGGTAGGCATTAAAATAATATAAAATGAACACCTGCAGCAGAGACTTTTTCATCAAGCTGGAAAAACTATCTTAGTTGTTTTATGGTACATTGATAAAACACCTTGTGAGACATACACGAAAGGTCATTAAGAAATTAATAAATGGAGACTAAAACAAGAATAATGAAATTTTGCATAGGCGACATTTGCCCAAATTCACCTCCTCTCTTATGTAAATAATTTCATTTGGTTCATATGTAGTTTGGGAGGAGATGTCCTGGACTCCCAACTGGTATGGTATATTTTAACTGAAAAATATCCCTAGTGGTTAGACACTGACGTCCAGAGATTATTTGACCATTTCCCCCTACCATCACTGCTTCTCTAAAGACAAATGTTGGGTCCAACTAAAATCAGGCTGTGTCTCAGTTCTGAAGCATGGAGAGAGAGAGAAGAAAAGAGAGAGAGAGAGAGAGAGAGAGAGAGAGAGAGAGAGAGAGAGAGACCTTACTTCTTTGTGTTCCTCATGTTTCCAAATTTGTCTTCGCAGATATCTTCTTATCTCTAGACAACATGTTTGTGTCCCCCAGAACAGCAGTGTATAATGCCATGAAACATATTAGCACATTAAAACCAGTGGGAAGTATTCTTCTCAAGAAAAATAGGCTATAGTTGCAAGACTACTGTACTTAGCTTTCTCAGGATTGAGTTCTTTGGTCACATGGAGTTCAATGCAGACTAGTCTAGGGTTCAAGCTAGTCTTGGATATCACACTGAGTTCAACAGAAGCTTACATAAATGTGACTAACTTGATCTGGATCCAACTGCAAAGACATCCAGAAGCCTTCGCTTGAGGAATCAAGTTTCGGGTAGCAGTATTTAAGCATTCAAAAGAATGGGGGCTCCAGTGAATTCACTGGCAGTGCACCAGTGCAACTGTCTAATCCATCCTAGAGCAGTTTGGTTCCTTCCAGACTACAGCTCCCATCATCCATAGGCAGCTTGGTCAAGGGTGATGGGACCTGCTGTGCAAAGCCATCTGGAGGGCACCAGGTTGACAAAGACTGTTCTAACAGCACCATTACTATATTAAGAATGATAGGGAAAAGAAGAAATCTCCAAGATTCTTGACCACCATACCATGTGCTGCAGAAAACAATATACTAGTGATACATTCATGATTACATTTGAAGAGGACACTGAATTATTATTATTATTATTATTATTATTATTATTATTATTATTTTAAAAAATTGTATACCTCCCTACACTTGCAGGTCTTGTGGTTCACAACATAAAATCACATCAGAAAAACACAAAATGCATAATAAAAACAAGAACAAGAAGAACCCAATAATCCCACACACACATTTTATTTTTATTTTTTTCAAAAAAAAATTATTAATTTTCCACATTTATAACAAAAATAACAATTAACTCCTTCAATTTACTATCTTCCTCTCTTTTCTTATTGACTTAAATCCATATTACTATACAACATTCTTATTCTAATCCTAGGCCTATCAGATACTTTCAGGTATCTTCTAATTATCTCATATTGCAATATTTAACTAAATAGTCTTTAAATTTCTTCCAATCTTCTTGGTGCTCCTCTTCTTTCTGATCGTGGAGTCTCCCAGTCAGTTCTGCCAGCTCCATAAATTCCATACACACATTTTAAAAGGGCATTGGATGTCAGTCAGTCAATGGCCTGATTAAAGAGGAACGTTTTTGCCTGGGGCCTAAAGGTGTATAATGAAGGCACCAGGCGAACCTCCCTGGGGAGAGCATTCCACAAACTGAGAGCCACTGCAGAAAAGGCCCGTTGATGTGGATCCACCCTCCGGATCTCTCACGGAGGAAGCACACTAAGAAGGGCCTCACAAGATGATCTCAGGGTCCAGGTAGGTTCATATGGAGAGAGGTGATCCTTGAGGTATTGCAGTCCTAAGACATTTAAGGCTTTGTAGGTCTAAACCAACACTTTAGTATATGTGCTGTCAGAGCGAGCACCAAAACCAACACTTTGAATTGGGCCCAGGAACTAATTGGTAGCCAGTGCAGCCCAACCAGGATAGGTGTACAGTGGTACCTTGGTTCTCAAATGCCAAAAACCCAGAAGTAAGTGTTCCAGTTTTCAAACATTTTTGGGAAGCTGAACGTTGAGTTCAGCTGTCGGCTATTGTTTCCAGGGCACCTGCACCAATCAGAAGCTGCGCCTTGGTTTTTGAACATTTCAGAAGTCAAACGGACTTCCGGAATAGATTGAGTTTGGCGCTTTTGTTTTTGCTATTTATTTTGCGTTTTTATTTCTGAGGCTTTTTCAGTTAATTTGTTTTTGTGACTATGTGGAACCCAGTCCAGCTACTGATTGATTGATTGAATGTGTGACTGTGGAAATGGATAAAAGCCCCCCATCTAAACAATGACTATCATCTTTGCAGGTAAAAAAAAATAAATTTATTTTTATCATCTACAATACTGTCTTATTTATTTTATAGTACAGTACATTAATTATTGCTTTCATTTTATGGATCAATGGTGTCGTTAGAGAGTAAAATTCATGTTAAATTGCTGTTTTAGGGGTTGTTTTTAAATTACTTTCTATGGGAAAGAGCGCCTTGGTTTTGGAGCACGTTGGTTTTGGAACAGACTTCCGGAACAGATTAAGTTTGAGAACCAAGGTACCACTGTAATATGCTCAAATATGCTCAATAAAAGGCCAAAATGTTTATTCCAAGCATGCACCCTTTAGGAACATGATGTTCCTTAATGTGCCATCAACTGTGGGACTGTCTGCCTCCCCATTAGTTTCTTCAGGGCTGCTTTCACATCCTTATTGCGCAGAGTGTAGATGACTGGGTTGAGCATGGGTGTAACAACATTGCCAAAGATCTGCACCGGGGTGACCAGGACCCCACTCAGAGACGGCTGGGTGTAAATCAAGGCACAGGGTCCAAAGAAAAAGGTAACCACCAGAAGATGGGAGGCACATGTGGAGGCCGCTTTGCGCCTCCCCTCCCCAGAATTCATCCGTGCGATGGAGTAAATGATGCGGACATAAGACAAGAGGATGAGGAAGAAGCAGGTCACACCCACAATGCCAATATTGTTGAAGCCCACAGCTTCGATGGTGGTAGTATCTGCACAGGCCAACTTGACGACTGGGAAAACATCGCAGAAGAAATAATCTATTACATTAGGGCCACAGTAAGGCAATGTGAACGTGAGGCTGGTGAGAACGATGCCCTGAACAGAACTGGCGAGCCATGTACCTGCCGCCAAGATGACGCACACCTTCCAGTTCATAATGACCATGTACCGCAGTGGGTAACAGATGGCAATGTAGCGATCATAAGCCATGACGGTATACAGCAGGCACTCAGAACATCCCATAAAATGGTAGAAGAAGACCTGGGACATGCACCCCCCTAGGGAGATGGTCCTGCTTTGTCCCCAAAGGATAGATAACATTTTGGGAGTGGCGACGGAAGAGAAACCAATGTCTAGGATGGCCAGGTTGCAGAGGAAAAAGTACATAGGGGTGTGGAGATGAAAGTCGAGGAGGACGGCCGACATAATGGTCAGATTTCCCAGCAAAGTGCAGAGATAGAAAGCCGAGAAGACAGCGAAGAGGATGGTCTGGAGGCCTTCGGTGTTGGGGATCCCGAGGAGAATGAAATGGGTCACTACTGTGTGGTTCTTCTGGTCGGACCCATCCCTACAGCAGCAGAAAAATAAGAACGTTCATGTTGTTTCTCCTCTCGTGCTCTGAATCGTGATAGGAACATAGGAAGCAGCCTTAAACCACATCAGGCTATCTGGCGCAACATGGTCTACACTGACTAGCAGTGTCACATACCCTCCAACCTTTATCCAATGAAAATAGGGACGTCCCATTCCATAATGATAATTTTACTGTTTATACCCTACACACCTTACTGGGTTGCACCAGCCACTCTGGGCAGCTTCCAACATATATAAAAACATAATAAAACATTATACATTTTTTTAAAAAAACTTCCCTATACAGTATTGCCTTCAGATGACTCAAGGGTCCAATAACTTCCTGACAGTAAGAGCTGTTCGACAGTGGAATTTGCTGCCAAGAAGTGTGGTGGAGTCTCCTTCTTTGGAGATCTTTAAGCAGAGGCTTGACAACCATATGTCAGGAGTGCTCTGATGGTGTTTCCTGCTTGGCAGGGGGTTGGACTCGATGGCCCTTGTGGTCTCTTCCAACTCTATGATTCTATGATTCTATGATTATAACTCCATACCCTCAAACATTTCTCCAATGAAAATAGAGACTTCCTAAGGAAAAGCTGGACATTCCAGGATCAAATCCAAAACTCGGATGGCTACTATGAATCAGGAATGTCCCTGGAAAATAGGGACACTTGGAGGGTCTGCTGTCATGCCAGGACAACTTTAATCCACTTTAATTGCAGAAACCTAAATTTCCTGTTATGCCCTCCTACAAAATCCAGGCAGTCAGCAGGCACCTGTCTCTGAACCCTAAGGTTTCATTAAACTATTGTAGCTAATACCCACTGGTGCCCTGCCACTCCCTTCATTTTTACACTACCATTTCAAAGCCACCTAATCCTGCAACCACTGGCACTTCTTGAGCAGTGAATCCCATAGTTGTTTTATGCATTTATGTGAAGAAATAAACCAATGTTTACCGTGCAAACACTGGTGACGTGGAAAACCAATTCAGGTGCCAGAGAAATTTGGATGCAAAATGAAGCCAATTCCCCATAACTCCTTCACCTTCATTGAGATGCCACCAGCTATTCTCACATCAGCCACAACAATTTGGTTGTGGAAGAATGCCATCTCTCACAGATCTATTCACACACACATCTGCCTTTTGACTTACCCACAGGATGCATTCAGTTTTCCAGAGCACATAATCAATCAGTGCAGAAGAAATTAATGTTCTAATTCAAACTCATGCACAACTAATGGGAGAATGAATTTTAGAGACATTACTCATGAACACCATACATAGTGCCACACTGTTCCTTAACTCCAGTGGCTTCACTGCTTTTATGCCAACCTCTTTTGCCCATCCTGGTGTCTCAACCAGGTTTGTTTGTTGTTTAATAGTTTGACAACCATAAGGGGCTTGATCCCTGATGGCTCACCAATTTCCCAAGCCTGAAACCTCCAAGGAGATAGCAAACTAAGTGCAATGGTTTCATCATTTCAGACATTACCTTATGCAAGATGCATATGTTTCCCAGTACATTTCCGAGCACAATTCAAAGTGTTGGTGCTGACCTTTAAAGCCCTAACTGTCATCGGCCCAGTATACCTGAAAGAGCATCTCCACCCCCATTGTTCTGTCCAGACACTGAGGTCCAGCTCTGAGGGCCTTCTGGCAGTTCCCTCACTGCAAGAAGTGAGGTTACAGGGAACGAGGCAGAGGGCCTTCTTAGTAGTGGCGCCCACCCTGTGGAATGCCCTCCCTTCAGATGTCAAAGAAATAAACAACTATCTGACGTTTAGAAGACATCTGAAGGCAGCCCTGTTTAGGGAAGTTTTTAATGACTGATGTTTTAATGTATTTTTAATTTTTTGTTGGAAGCTGCGCAGAGTGGCTGGGGAAACCCAGCCAGATAGGCAGGGTATTAAAAAAAAAATTATGGTGATGGTGATGGTGATGATGATTACAAGATGGGAAAACATCACAGAAGAAATACCACTTCTGGGGGTTCGTGACCAGGACTCATGAACAGAGGTGAGGGATTGGTGGAGGAGGCTGAAGAGAGTGAGCTTGTGTCTTTTGGTTTAAGGCTGGTTGGTTGTCTGAGCTGTTTGGAGATTTGATTGTGAGTTTGTTTGTGGGTGTGGCTGTGTGCTCTACCAGAGCACAGGGTCTGAGGGGGAGGGGCTACTGCTGAGAGGAAGGCAGGCTGAATGAAGGAGTGAGTTGGGGGAGGAGTTAGCAGCCAGCAGCTGTTCTACTTAGCTGTAATATCAGGCAGACACTCTTTACACCCCTTAATCTGTATGTCTCCTAAAAAAAAAGAAAATCCCATCTGGCAGCTATCATTGCAGGGCAGGAGTCCTTGCACATTGTAATGATATACGCTTTAGAACTGCGTTACGGGTGGATTTTTGCAAAATCGGTAAAACGTTCCACCAAAGAGCTCAACAACTTTGACCTAAACAAAAAACAACTCAACAATTTTGTCCAGATTTTCACTTTCAGGAATACTAAGAGCATCAGCATTGAGGCCCAACATGATGTGATGTTGGGAGAGGGTATGTCTAAATAATAATAATAATAATAATAATAATAATAATAATAATAATAGCAGACACACGATGCTGGATTGGGATCACATTACTTTGGAGTGAAAGTTAACCCTTTCTCTCATGTTTAATTTTTTTTTTTTTAAATCTCTCCCTAAATTTATTTTCATTCTGTGAAGCAAAACGTACAGGTGTGGTGCAAATAACAGATTCACTTTGGCTAGTGTGAATCAGGAAAACAGGCATGATCCCAGTCTGAATCAGGGCCCCTCACAACTGCAATTTATATAAGTAATAAATTAAAAGGCAACTTTCTCAAACTTTTAAAAAACTTTTAGAAACAGATCCTGATCATTGATCTCTTGAAACATCTACTTTGACTCCGAATAATTATATTAATAGAACAGTAAAGCATACAGATGGGTGAACTTGTAATTTTTTTGTTAATCTCCATTTCTCATCTTTGCAGACTTAAGTTCATTTCTCCACATTTCCACATCAGCTTGCAATTTCTTTTTAAAAAAAAAACTCACGAAAACTCGTCATATTAGGGGCAAATTCCTCGTAATATATGAACTTTTATACATGATTGTGCTTAACACACACATTTTTGTATACATTTTTGTTAACATTCATTTTATGGTCACTTTATCTTGCTGTATATGTTTTGGTACACATTACAGTATTTGCAGTGCAAAATTCAGTGCAAATTTTGAAGGATGTGTTTCAGTTCATGTATCATTTCAGGAAGTGAGATCTAGGTAGGTCCACCTTTAAATGTGAACTGAATCAGATGTTTCACCCCAGTGAATGAGGTGGTGCTGAAGATACCTCTCACATGCCTCTAATGTTTCTGATACAAATAAACTGGCATGCAATCGTCATCTTCGGAATTTCACTTGTAGGACTTGTAGGAATTCCACTTGTCAAATGGAAGAAGAAAGTGGACAAACACTTATTCTCAACAGTGCCAGAGAGAAGAACAAACTTTAATGGGCTCAAGTTACAAGATGATCAATTCCACACGAACCTCAGGAGAAATTTGTTTATGGCAATGGAGCCAGTTAACTACAGGCGTGGTAAGCTCTGCGCTGCTAGAGGTCTTCAAAGAGAAGCTGGGCAGCCATCTTTGTGATGCTGGGTTTATTTTATTAAGCAGGATGCTGGGGTAAATGGTCTACAAGGCTTCCACCAAACTCTATGACTCTGTGCCCTGATTCAAGCCATTTGTCATGGCAATGGTGCATGTTGCGTACATGTGTAATAAGCTACACTTGCCATCCTTCTTTTGCTTGAGGCAAGATGGTTGTCCAACTGAATCACTGCAAGAGACGTTCTCAGGCAAACCCATAATAACAAGGCTGAATTCTCCAGTGCACCTTCCTCAATACCCGATCGCAACGGCAAGAGAAGCCCACTTGAAATGCGTGAGTGGATGCTCACAGGTCAAGCATGGAGGCTTCCTACAGCTTCCACATCCCCTCAAAATACTTGACTGTGCAGCCAGTTCACTGCTTAGCTGCAGGTCAACAAAGAACGTTGGGCACTTACACATGTACATCAGTTACACACATTTGTCCTGTTGGAGAAAACCATGTGCTTGAGATGGTTTGGATATGACTACAGCATGGGTAGGCAAAGTAAGGCCCAGGGGCCGGATCTGGCCCAATTGCCTTCTAAATCTGGCCTGCAGACGGTCCTGGCATCAGCTTGTTTTTACATGAGTAGAATGTGTGCTTTTATTTAAAATGCATCTCTGGATTATTTGTGGGGCATAGGAATTCATTCATTATTTTTTTCAAAATATAGTCCACCCCCCCAAGGTCTAAGGGACAGTGGACCGGCCCCTTGCTGAAAAAGTTTGCTGACCCCTGGACTACAGTCTTCTACTTAATCATTTCTCCAAGCCATTTTTGGAATACATCATACTGACTATTATTATCATTGTTCTCATTGTTATCATAAGAATAATCTTCATCAACATTGTGGTCATTGTCCAAAGGTCCATCTAATCTAGCATTGTGTTCTCACATTGACCAAGCAGATGCCTATGGGAAGCCTGCTAGCAGGGCAGGAGCTAAACAGAGACATACTAGTAGCCACTGGTAACTTTATCTCACAAGAATTTTTCCAAAACCCTTTGAAAGCCATCAAAGTTAGTGGCCATGACTATATCTTGAAAGTGTAAGATGCAACCAGAAACAGAACTTAGAAAGATCTGTCTGAGCATACACATGGGAGAGGAACTATGCTTTCCTGCCTCCTAGTCTCAAGACAGCAGTTTTCATCTCCTTGTTTCTCAGAGTGTATATGACAGGGTTCAGGAAGGGAGTCACTGTGGTGTAAAACACAGCCACCACCCCTCCCAGTGGATCTTGTGCTCCTGGTCTTAAATAAGTAAAGGTTAGAGGAATATAGCAGATCATTACAATAATGATATGGGATGTACATGTAGAGAAGGCATGCCGCCGCCCCTCAGCACTACGAATCTTTAGGACTGCCAAAATAATGTACATATAAGAAATAAGGAGAAGGAAAACACAAGTCATGGCTACAAGACCGACATCAATCAAGGTCACCATCTCATTGAGGGTTGTATCAGCACAGGCAAGTTTCAGCACAGCTGGAATGTCACAGAAGATATACCTCACCTCATTCCCTGGTCCATAGGGCAAGCGGAAGGTGAGAGCTGTCTCCATGGCTGAGTGGAAACAACCACCTGCCCATGTGCCAATAGCAAGCCAGAGGCAGGCATTGCGGTTCATGAGGGTGCCATAATGGAGAGGCCGGCAGATGGCCAGGAAGCGGTCATAAGCCATCACGGTGTAGAGGAAGCATTCTGTGCACCCCACAAAGTGGTAGAAGAAGAGTTGGCTCACACAACCAGCAAAGGAGATGGTCCCACCACCCTCCACAAACCCAGCAATCAATTTGGGCACCACTACGGTCGAGGTGGCAATGTCCAAGACGGACAAGTGGCAGAGGAACCAGTACATGGGCTTGTGCAGCTGTGGTTCGCATATCACAGCCAAGAGGACCAGGAGATTACTAAGGAGGGTCAGCAAGTAGATGGACAAAAAGAAGCAAAATAAAGCAGCATGTAGCTCAGGTGGGTATGGAATCCCCAAGAGGACAAAATACATCAGTGCTGTTTGATTTTCGCACTCCATTCTTTGAATGCCTTTAAGGTTTATCACTTCAATGTACAAAAGAGAGTGACAAAAATTATGAAGCTTTGGCAAGCTCTGTGTAACATTTTGGATATCACACCAAGCTCTTGTCATTTGTTGTCTGGGGGGAGGGAAGTGGTGAGATGTGGAATATCCATATTTTCCACCCTAAATTCTAAAGATTCAGACGTCATCTCAGAGTCTTGGTGCAACAATTGTGCAACTTCATCCCCAGGGTTCATTTCAATCACGGTTCATCAATACTTTCTTCCAGAAGCTATTTTCAGATACATTCCACATATAAGCCAGGAAAATGCAAAAGAGAATGCTTTTAAATAACAAGCACCATACCTTCTCCACTCCTATCCTTCCTCCGGACATACAAATGGACAAAATAAATTGTGGGGAAAGAGTTCTAGGTTGGAGGACATGATATAGCCAGACTTGAATGCTGGTTTCTCTACATTTAGTAGTTGGTCACTTTTCTCCCGCATATTCCATGCAACTGAGGAAAAGGTTGTAATCTGATAACAGTCCTTATCATAATGGAGATTCTTAGGAAGGACAGGTCCAAGCAATACAGGTTGTGGACTTAAGTCCTGAAGACACAGAATCCCACCTGCTTATTCATATTGAGATGCCCAATAGAAAAGGTTCTGTGCCTTTTTCGTGCCTTCACTCAACTATCTGGAGAGACAGCCAAGTTTGAACCCTGAAATAACAGATGGTGTTCAATGGCCAGCACAGCAGAATGAGTGCTCTCCTCTAGAGGTCCAAGTTTCTCATCATAAATCCATTCCTAACATTCTCCCACAGCTCTGGATATTTCCTATAAGTTCTTCCCTTTTTTATAGTACTGTGTTTGTGTCTGATCTTCTTTATATCCTCTCCCTCCCTTGTGCATTTCTTTCCTCCCTAGGTTTCTGATTTCCAGGCTTTGGGGATTTGAAGGCATTTCTGAACTCATGATTGCGCTGTGTGTTTTGATCATAACTATGTACCAGGGGCTTATAATAACTCCATTTGGAGTTACATCAGATTTTCAAAACATCATCATGGCAAAGTGAAAGGCCATAACTCAGTGGTAGAGCACATCTTTTGTGTGCAAAAGGTCCCGGGTATTGTTGGCAATATGATGAACCAGCTTCCTACATCCACGCTGAATTTACTGTTTCAAAATACAAGCTGTGCTTCTTTCCCCAATACATGTTTATGGCTTCCTTTAGTTTTCACGGGGAACAGTATTGCTGCCGAAATTAATAACATCAAACAGGCCTGTTGCCCTTTCGTGGTTGGTAGGGATGAAGCCTGGGAGACCAATAGGAAGAGGAGCTAGAGCCAACGATAGGCAAAGTCACTCCCTGATTGGTTGGAAGTAAGAAGACAGGCAGTTGCGGAATCACCGACAACAGACTGAAGCTGGCACAGGGAATACCCAATTCACCCTAATGAACCAATCTCCACTGCTCTTGTCTCTTGCACATAGATTTTTATTATTTGTAGCTCAAACCAAGTTTCTACATAACAAAGTCCCTACCTGAAAGCAACTGCATGATCTAAGAGACCTTACACAGGAGAAGGCGATCTTTCAGGTTACCTGGTCTCTGTTAAGAATAATTGTTTAATGCAGTGGCATAGCGTGGGTTGCCAGTGCCCAGGGCCTTGCAGAGGTGGTAGTGGTAGAGAGGTAAATAGATGGAGTAGGCATGCACATTCAACTGCCTAATGGCATCCGCATCACCTGGGAGATCACAGCTGCAGAGATACAAAAAGAGTCATTCATTGTCTGCAGAGGTCACTTCCTGGTTCACATGGAGAAGCTGTTTTCAATGGAAACCAGCTAGGGAAGCAAGCAACTCTACTGAGGCAGCACCGGATGTTGAAATTTTGTACCCCCGAACAATATTGTGCCCAGGACAACTTGTGACTCCCCCCCCCCATGCTACGCCACTGGTTTAATGTATATTGAAATGGAAGATTGAAGCATATTTTTGGACTGGAATTTTTTTATTTTGATATAAGAGCCAGTTTTTGTTTATCCAGCAGCTTCTACAAGAACAAATAATAATAATAATAATAATAATAATAATAATAATAATAATAATAATAATAATAATACTACAGTGGTACCTCGGGTTAAGTACTTAATTCGTTCCGGAAGTCTGTTCTTAACCTGAAACTGTTCTTAACCTGAAGAACCACTTTAGCTAATGGAGCCTCCTGCTGCCACCGTGCCGGCAGAGCACGATTTCTGTTCTTATCCTGAAGCAAAGTTCTTAACCTGAAGCACTATTTCTGGGTTAGTGGAGTCTGTAACCTGAAGCCTATGTAACCTGAAGCGTATGTAACCTGAGGTACCACTGGAAGAAGAAGAAGAAGAAGAAGAAGAAGAAGAAGAAGAAGAAGAAGAAGAAGAAGAAGAAGACGACGACCTCTAAGGTGACCTGGCAGCTGATTGTCAGCCAATGCACCTCTCTCAGTACAGGTATAATAGATGCATATCCAGTTGCTTCACTCGACAGCCTGGCCACAGAGTTCTGCACCAGCTGCTGCTTCCAGGACCTCAGGACCACATTTCCCCATGTCACTGGTACCAACATGCACTCCAACCACTGAATACTTCCCTGCCCTGGCTCTGTGGTGACATCTCTTTCCTTCCTGAGAAAGACTTTCATTTAAAAATGTTTTTTTTAAAAAAAAACCTTAACCTCACATCACCATTTTCTCACACTGCTTCACATAGTCAACTACAATTCAATGAGTGATGTGAAGAGTTACAGCTCCATGGTACAGTATCTGCTTTGTTTTCAAAAAGTCCCAGGTTCAATCTCTAGCATCTCCAGGTAGGACTGGGAAAGGACTTTGTCTGGAACCTATCCCTCCCTCTCTCCTACAGACACTTTTAAAAAGCCATAGAATGTTAATCAGCCAGACAACTGGCTGAAGGGAAATGTTTTCACCTGGTGCCTAAAGATATGCAATGAAGGTGCCAGGCAAACCTCCTTGGGGAGAGCATTCCACCGCCGAAAAGGCCCATCCTCTGGACGTCTCATGGAGGAGGCACTCAAAGAAGGACCTCACAAGATTATTATTTATTATTATTTATTGAATTTATATACCGCCCTATACCCGAAGGTCTCAGGATGCTGATTACAGATGATGATTGCAGGGTCCAAGTCAGTACATATGGGGAGAGGCAACCCTTGAGGTATTGCAGTCCTGTGCCATTTAAGGCTTTAGAGGTCAACACCAGCACTTTGAATTGGGCCCAGAAACTAACTGGCAGCTGGTACAATCAGGCCAGAATCAGCTTAATATGCTCAAACCATCTTGTCCTGGTGAACAACTTGACTGCCAAATTCTGCACCAGCTGGAGTTTCTGTACCATCTTCAGAAACAGCCCTACATATAATATGTTGCCATAATCTAACCTAGAGATTACCAGAGCATAGATGACAGAAATTAGGCTATCCCTACCCAGATAGGAGCATAGCTGGGCCACCAGCCGAAGCTGGTGGAAGGCACTCCCCACCACTGGGGCCACCTGAGCCTCAAGCAACAGCAAATGACCCAGAAGTAACTCCAAGCTACATACCCGCTTCTTCAGAGGGAGCGTAACCCAACCAAGAGCAGGCAACCTCCCATTCATCTACTCTGGGGAACCAGCCAGTAACAGTGCCTCATTCTTATCTGGATTGAGCTTCAGTTTATTGACTCTCATCCAGTCCATTACCAAGGCAAGTCAATGGAGCACTCCATCCACTGCTACACCTGCAGTTGTAACTGAGAAGTAGAGCTGGATGTCTCTCTACTGACAGAGGTCATCATACAGGGTGACCAAAGCAGTTGTGTGCCAAAACCAGGCCTAAACCCTGATTGAAATGGATCTAGAATATCCATTTCCTCCAAGAGTGCCTGGATCTGGTCCGCAACCACCCGCTCAAGAGCCTTGTCAAGAAGGGGAGATTAGCAACTGGCCGGTAGTTACTTAGATTTTCTGAATCCAGGGTTTACTACTACTTCCTTTAAGCAGGCAGGGACCACCCCCTCTTCGCTTCCAGCCCCGCAAAGCAAGGGCAAGGAAGGGATCAAAGGGTGCATGGCTGTTGCTTATTTCTCATGCCACCCTCCCCTAGCCAGATCATCCCAGCCTCGCAAAGCAGATTGGGGCTGGCGTCACGTTGGTGGCAAGGGTTGGGCTCGTGCATCCGCACCCACCTGCCAGCCCTGGATGCCAGGAAGACACACTCCACCACTGCCCTCTTGCAAGAAGGCATCGATCACTTCCCTAGCCCAGACAGCTGCCCCATTTCCTGCTACAGTGGTACCTCAGGTTAAGAACTTAGTTCGTTCTGGAGGTCCGTTCTTAACCTGAGGTACCACTTTAGCTAATGGGGCCTCCCGCTGCTGCCGCGCGATTTCAGTTCTCATCCTGAAGCAAAGTTCTTAACCCGAGGTACTATTTCTGGGTTAGCGGAGTCTGTAACCTGAAGCGTCTGTAACCTGAAGCATCTGTAACCCGAGGTACCACTGGACTTTTAATCAGCCAAGAAAAGCAAGGGTCTAGAGTACAAGTGATCGCCCTGACCGATCCAAGCAGTTTGTCGACATGCTTGAGCCTTACGAACTGAAAGTCACCCAACACAACAGGACCAGACAGGGCTCTGGACACCCCTTGAGATTCACCTGCTATAAAAGATGATTAATAATAATAATTGTTTTTATTCCTCTTCTCCTTGCTAAATAATCTTGCTTCACTGGGCCTTATTTCAGACGCATTCCAGACAATCAAAATCACTTCCTGAGCGAGGGGATGTGGCCTGGGAAGGTACATGGAGGGCTGTATTTTGCTCCCAGGCCTGAGGATCCCAATCTCTGGAAGACCAATGTGCCTTCATGTTATCATATTGTGCCATCCAGAGGTGAGAAGCTTAGTCTGATGTTCTGTTTCCAATTTGTTTCCTCCTCTTCAACGGAAAGGATCTAAGCACCCTTCATCC